CTGAGGTAGGAGGTGGCAACTTTCTGCACCCACCCCCACGGCTGATCCATCCCTTCACCGGGCAGATGCTGGTCTGCTAGGCCCTGGAGAAGCAGGGTGCGGTGGGGCAGGGCTCTGGAGGGGGCTGGGCTGTGAGGGGCCTGGGGGTGCTGAGGGCAGGCAGCTGGAATGAGGGAAGGGAAGGGAGGACACCACCCCCTCCTGAAGCCTGGAGCCTTCTCCCTCCAAATTCTTCATAAATAAAACTTCACAGTAATAGAGGAATGTCCACTTCCAGGGCCAAACCGGCTGCTTTCCAGCCAGGGAGCCAGGCCTGGGCTGGTGGGGGCCGCGGGAGGAACTCGCCTTGGGTGGGGGTCAGCAGCGCCGGGACTTCGGGGGGCCAGGAGCACTGCTCTTCTGCCCTGTGTCGGGGTAGGGTAGGACTGCAGCCCCAGGGAGGTTCTGAGGGGTGCTGAGGTAGTCAGAGCGGTCGCCCTTCCAGACCTTATAGGACACAGCCAGGAGCCGAGGCCCTGGAGCAGAGGCAGCCGTCTCCAGGCAGGCCTGGGGCTGCGGAGAGCCTGCTGGGCTCTCTCTCCCAGGAGACCAGGGTGTGGACTACTGGGTGCCTGTGAGCCTGCACAGGGTTGAGTTTCTCCTGCCAGGGCCACCTGGCCTCTGGGGAGACTGAGGCATTTCACAGAAGACTCTTCCCTGTGAAGACAAGGGGCGGTCACAGACCCATCAGGTCAGGCCTAGCCCAGGTACCTGAGCACAGGGTTGCTCCAGAGGTCACCAGGACCTCCCACTCCACGTCTGAGGGGGCCAGCAACGGACCCAGGTCAGGAGGGCTGCCAGGGCCTGGCGCCTTGCTCCTCAGAGAGGGCCTCCACACTGGGCAACTCCAACTGTTCCTGGGCCTCAGTTTCCTAGAATTATCCATACAGGGAGGTCACTTTCTGGCTACCTGCACCCCACCACACCCAGTGGCACGTAGGCCTCAACCCTCCACCTCCCCTTGGGTACCAAGGGCTAGGCCTGGGCACTGCGGCTCCAGCCCCAATACCATGGGGACTCAGGAGCACGTGCCCTGGCCTGTCCCAGTGGCCCGGCTGGGGTCAGAGCACCTGGAGCTTGCGGGAGCAGGTGAGATTGCTGTGCACCAGCCCCCACATGGCCAGCAGCTCAGGGGGCAGCAGCTTGTGCACCACCAGCATGGCGCGGAAAAAGCACGGCTCCTTGTTCATGCGGCTGTTGCGGTTGCGGGAGATGCCAAAAGTCTTGAAGCCCTCGTGGGCCATGGGCCGCACGCCCAGCACCTCCAGGCACATGCCCAGAAAGACATCGTCGATCGGGTAGAGCTCCAGGGTGTCGCAGGCATGGTGCAGGCGCCGGGCCAGGCTGCCGGCCATGAGGAAGCCACCACCACCTGCGTACGGGGGATAGCTGGCCTTGCTGTACAGGGCTCCGGGGATGTAGTATTTATTGTCTTTCCTGCGGATGGGCCGAGCGTGCTGCAGGACGTCGCCCACGAACAGGTTTTCCTGTGGCTGCCGGTCTGCCAGAAATTCTAGCAAGTTGGTGGGGTTGACGAAGACATCATCGTCGCCTTTGAAAATGAAAGGGACGTGGGGGCAGTAGATGTCCAGCCACTTGAGGAAGTGGATCTCCTTGAGGGTCAGGTTGAAGAAGGTGTCGAGAAAGTCCCACTGCAGGATGTCGCCGTAGAGGCGGTCTTCATAGGCCAGCAGCTGCTGGTAATGCGTGCGCTCCTCCTGCTTGGAGGCCGTGCCCAGAAGGAAGAGGGTGCGCACTGCGCCTCGGCCCCTACCAGCGGACTCCCGCTCGCGGCCCCAGGTCTGGCGGATGGCCTCGCGGCGGTCGTGCTGCGTGATGACCGACTTGACAACCACCAGCAGGTAGACATCGCCCCCGCACTTCTCTGGGTGGTTCAGCAGCATGGGGAAGTAGCGGCAGTGGCGGTAGAAGAGAAACTGCCGGAACTGCGGCTCCAGGCCCTTGAACCAGGGCTGGCGGGTCAAGTTGATATTGGCTGAGCAGTTAGTGGTGGTCACGTCCCAAGCCTGGGGCCCCTGAGAGGCCATGGGCGTAGGCGCAGCCACATCTTGCAGGTTCTTCCAGAAGTTGTTGGGGTTCACCAGCTGTCCATTTGGTTTCTGGGCCTTCTGTGGCTCCAGGGTGGGTGGCAGAGGCTCCTGCAGAAACTGACGAGGGGTGAGACTGCGCTGGAACACTGTCAGGGCCACGAGCAGGCCCAGGGCCAGGCACAGACTCCGGTAGATGGTTTTCTTCCTGTGGGGGAGAGTGGACGGTACAGAGGAGAGAGAAAAGATGAGCCCAGGACTTTCCTGGCGCCCTCCTTGGAAAGCTGGGTGGTCCCAGATGGGCAAGTGGACCTGGGCACAGGCTCAGTCCCGGAGCCCCTAAGTGGTCAGGGGAGGGTCCCGCTTCCTCTCCCACCGTGCCCTCTCTCTCGCCCACCGTGCCCTCTCCTCAAGGAGCACTGAGTAGTTTTTACAACCTCTCTGGGCCACAATTTCTTCTTCCCCCAAATGGGGCTAAAACACAGGATTGGAGTGCTGTATAAAGCACCAGGAAGTGGGTATGCAGTTGGGGGAATGCTGCCACCTTATCAGGAAGGTGGAAACCTCTGCCCTGTTTCCCACCCCTGGAACCCCAATGCCTTTCATTTCCCTGTGCAACCTCCACAGCAGTAGGTATCGGTATCATTAGATGACTCACAGCCAGAGTCATTGAGAGGGCACCCTCTGACCCTCTGTGCCGCCTGGGTGCTCCATCACATGTGGGGCACACTGGAGAGCAGCTTGAACTTAGGACCTGAGGAAGACTGGCCCTCCTCCCCCTTCTCCAGTCTGTCTCAGGCAACAAAGAGCAGCCCTCATGGTTGATGGAGGCCCAAGGATGCAGTGAGCACCTCTAGCATGGCACTGGCTCACCCCTACCTTAACATCCCCAGCTCATAACACCCCATTAGAAGACATGAGGCTCCAGCTCTACTCCCTGGGAGGGGACACATTTGCAGCCCCAGCCCTTGAGGGACCCTCCTTGCCCAGAGACCCCCGTCACACCCATTTCAGAAGGAGAAATTAGAGCTCTCTGCCAGGAGTGCTGGTTGTCCCAAGCCCTGGGGCCTGAGCCCCTGTCCTGAAGGACCTCCTCTCTTCATCTCACCCTCCAGGGGCTGCCAGGACACCTGCCCGACCCTCTCCAGTGCAGACCTGGGGGCTCAGAGCTCTGGGGATGCCGAGTGGCCTTCCAGGGTCAGCCTAGCAGAGAGATGGCGCTGACCTCCAAGGGGGAGGAGCAGGGTGGCAGGAGAGACAGGGAGCCCGTGGAGACGCCTGGGATGCCCTGAGGGCTGGCCTGGTTGCAGGTCCAGGCCCCAGGGTGAATGCAGGCTGAGCCCCATAGAGCGACGTTTTCTCCATAGGGTCCCCAGGTTGCCAGGGCACGTAGTTGGAGGAAGACAGGGGCACCTTAGGTGCGGGCTGGGGGTGTGACCCAAGGTCTAGCTCTCCCGGGAGGGGAACGGAGGGCTCCGGATTCGGCCCTGCCAGCCCTAGGGGTTCCAGGGAAGCCGCCCACCGAGGCCGGGACGGGGGAGGTCGGGGGTGCACCGGGAGGGCAGCGAGGCCCT